TCGTATACACTTATAATGCTTGTACTTGTCAACGACTAAGGTCAGTTGACGGCAACATTTTAATTTTGATTCTTAATCTGGTGCTCATAATATTTCTTCTAAATACAGACTGGACTTGGGCACGTATGTGTATATTATTTTTAGACGATGCCAAAGCAAATTTTGATGTACTTGCAATTTATTTTTCAACATTTTACACCTCACAAATCATTTATCAAAATTCTTCGAAATTAACGCGTTGAAAATGCAACAACTTAATGCAAAGCTCAATTTATCTTCTCACTAAAATGAAAATATATCTTTGGCACGCCAAAGATGTAATACCCTTGTAGACATAAAGCTGATGGCTTTGTAAAGCTCAATTTATTGAGTATTTTGAGTATATTTTGAAATGCAAATTTTTCCAAACATTAACGTGTGAATCTTTGCAGAACTCGTAAATGCCAAGCTTGATTGGGATTTATTAAAAAAACCTCCCTTAAAACTGAGAGACAAGTTTAAACAGAAACAGACAGACGGAGTTGGATATATAAACTCGTCTCAAGAATATAAGTATATTTACGAGATCGGAAAAGTCGAGTTTTTTGTTAGAATTGTTTGTTGTTTATTTTCAATATAAATAGTTTTCGGAAACCTCTTTAAGGATTTTCCAGTGGCACCAGCAAAAATGGACCGAACTGCCCTTTCAGAGAAATTTCCATCTAAATATTTAAAAATAAAAAAACACATTTATAAAATATAACTATAATTGTTAGAGCGCACATGTATTATATTTTTGACAAAATAACTGAATTGAGAATATGTTTTAATAAAAGTATAGTATAATAGTTGATTATAAATTCAATTTGGTCCTAACATTTATTTTTTCACGCTATATAAAAATAATTGCAGAGGATTGAATATCTTTTATATTATTGCCGAACTCATTATAAGGACAAGCGGGAAGATTTTTTTTAACTTTTCTCTACCTTTGAACTATCTTTGAACTTGTTAGAGATCTGTCCTTTAATGGCATTGGCACGGGAAATATCTTCGATCTTGAGCTATAATTTTATTATTAAATCTCCAACTGGGTTTTACCAGAAAGAAAAATGAACAAAGATGCACTCTACATTTTTTATAATAATTAATAAGTTTTTTTTGATAAAACTCATCATTTAGCAAACATCTAATCCGTAAATATGATTTTAAATAACGTCAAATGAGAACATTAACTTTGATCTCTCGCAGCTACGATTAATGTTTATCTGTAAATGTAAAATCAAAAAACTCGTAGTAAAATTCCCATAGAGTTCAAGCACATTTCAGCTTATAGCTCATTAATGTGTCAATATTGAAATTATTAAGATCGTACAGAAATCGCCTTGTCTAAAAATAGAAACCTCATAAATACATATTTGCGCATGCAAAGTGCAATAAACGCGAAATGTGTTGACGCCGGTCTCCGAGCAGAACACACGCACACACACACGCACACACACACACACACGTATCGTTGTTACGCACTCCACATTGTTAATGCAATCGTCGGCTAGCCGATCGTGATCACCTTTTGCGTCCCCCATGTACGGCCAGCAGCTCGTCGCGCCGCGCCCTTGCAGCGCTCCTGTTCCTAGGCAACGTTGATTGCATTGGAAATGATATGCAAAACCGTGAAGCGAACTCCTCTATAAATAAACGCACGCAGCGAAATGAGAAATGTTTAACGCGAATTTTTATTTTTATAAGTAAGTCGATGATGGCGCATAAAAATGCACAGCATTAAATGCCTTGAGTCGAAAATGTAGACTCTAAATACATGTGGATAAAGATAATATATACATGCATACATATATTATGTATAGTGTACATACATATTTAGCGAACGTCAAAGAAATGCGTCTGTGCCATATGCTAGAGACATGGAAACTAAATCATTAGCCAGTCGGCAATGCGATTCACGAATTTTCCATGACGGCTCTTTCTACGTACATAGATACAAAACGTATTCACAGATAGCTTTATATTTGATGAGTGTGTCTGTGTATCAAGGGGATGAGGGTTATTGTGGGTTATAGCTGTGTGAATACATTGTCTTGTCAATGCTCCACTTTTTGGAGCTCTGTTGTTGCTAATTGTATTCGTTTGTTATAAACGTTGCTGTTGTTGTTGTGTTGATAAAATCTAGTACAATATAAAAAAAACTCTAACCGCAAACCAGCTGGAATATCTTCTTTCTATATGTACTTATACGAATTACAAATGCGCTACACTTTATTTAAATGGGAACCTTAAATCATACCCATTCCAATACATAACGAATTGAATTGAATGCTAAACAAATAATAATTTACAACAATTATAGAGGAATTTTTAAAATATGTCAAAAGTAACATTTTATATTACGTGTTTATACAAAATTTCTGCTTCAAATCTTCAGATTTGAGACTGGATTTAGCAAGATATATATGTATGTATATGATTATTAATCAGCAGCTAATTAAATAATAATCTAAAATGTTTGTAAACATATCCATAGAATCCATTTCTGAAAAGTATTTTTCGCTTGATTATTTGGGGCACGTGACCCACTGTGCAACTATATCATAGCGCTCTCTCTCACTCTTTCTCATTCTTGCGTTCTCAGTGCACTCTAAACCACATTCCCCCTCTTCCGCAACTGCTGCCTGTTGATATTTGCTCAATACATTTATTTTTGTAGTTCTAATGTACGTTGTTGTTTGTTTTTTACTTGCTACCACTGCCCGTCTCTTCGCACACTTGTTACGCGCTGTGCCCGTTGCTGTTGCTGCTGCTGCTGCTGCTGCTGCTGCTGCTGCTGCTGCTGACGTTGGCGCTGACGTTTCACGCTGTGGCTTTGGGGGCTATTCCGCTTTGGGCTGCGCCAACATACGCTCAGTTGTTGCGCGGCGTTGAATACAAACGCGTCGAAATCGCGTCGAGCGAAACGATACCCAAAGCGGAAAGTAAAAGAACCGAAAGAACGAACGAGAAAAAAAACGCGCGCGTGCGTTTTGCTACCAACGTCGATCGTCCGTCGCTTGAGCGAGCGAGAAAGGGAGAGAGGGGCCACCATACTGTAAAATGTAATTACCATAGCAATGAAGAAACCATTATACATTGTTTTGCGTAAATTGTTTTGATTTCTTTTGCGTGAAATCAATAAAAATGAGAAATGCAGGCCTTAATCGAAACTAATTGAACTCTTGTGATCGCCCATCGAGACAATTTTCTTTGCGGTCGTGTGACAACACACGCTGCTTATCATTTTCACATGATCGTGTGAGCATATACCCCGCTACCCTCCCCCCGCAGTTGCCTAGCTAAAGTGTGATTTTAATATTGATTCATTGTGAATTTAGTTAGCGGCGCCTGGCAACGTTTGCTGTGGGTTTCTTTTTTGTATTTTATTTTGTTTTTGTTTTGTCTAGTTGCTATTTTAAAATCTTTTTTGTTCTTTGCTATTTTTTTCTCTCGAGATTTTGCTTAAATTAGCATGCATATAGCGCCATGACCAAGTGTTTTCCTTTTCTTAAAAAAATAAATTATATTTCCTGTGTGACTACTCGAACTCCCCCACACGCTCGCACACACACACACACACACACACATACATACATACATACAATGTGTTTGTTGTGTAAACATTTTGTTAGTGTTTTCAAGAATTTTATTTGTCTTTCTCATTGTTGCGAAATTCGGCAAATGTTTCGCTATATTCGGTTTCAGTTTTTTCTAATTGGAGCACAGTTCTTGACATAATCTCAACCCTAGCTACCTGACGGCGCGCCCTAGATAAAAATTACTTTTATATTTCTATTGTTTATTATTTTCCTTTTTGCTTTTGTTAGATATCAGCCTATGAAAACACATAGCAATAGAGACAGTATGAGCACTGCTAACGGACGCACAATTGACTCGACGTTGAACACAATTAATGAGTCGCGCCCAGTGAAAAAAACTGAATTTGGTGTATTGAAGCGCCCTAATCTTTCGAACTAACTGTGATAACAGTGCCTTCAATCTAACTTTATCCAGCTGCAACAACTCGAATAAAAACTGTAAACTGAATTCCTAATTGCACTTTCTACACATTGTTGTTATTGTTGTTGTTGTTGTTGTTGTTGTAGCGATCTAAAAATAGCTGAATGCGGTCATTGGTCCCTCGCACACCTCCGCACAGCACGCAACAAACTGATTGTGGAGCGTCAATTTTTATGCTACAACGGATCAGCAAATGAGAGAAAGAGCGAGAGGCAGTGAGAGAGAGAGCGAGAGAGAGAGTAGCAGTACACACTTTGTTTGCCGCTAGTGTTGTACAGTCAGCGTCTAAAATTGCGTGCACACTCATGTTTAAATGCAGTTGATTCATAAAAACGCAAAACACAATGCTTATCAGTTTTATGGAAAAATTTTTGCCTTTACTCTTTTTATCAGTCATTAGCAGGGCAGCAGGTCTCTTGGTTATGTATGTGTGTGTGTGTGTGTGTGTGTGTATGCGACATGTGCTGCGGGGCGTAAACATTTTGTTTACTTTACAAACGGGTGCGAGTCCGAACGCGAGCTTCTAGCCAAAATGAAACACTTCCCCCTTAAACGCTTAGTGGCACAGTGGGCGCTGCATTCAGTTTGGTAGTCAAAATATAGAACCGTTGGTAACCGTCGTTTTTCCACATTTGTGGGTGAATTCAAAAAAAATCTATTTCCTCGTAAAACGAAACTATTTACAGACTGTTTAGCCTGTGCATTGATCAATCAGTCAGTTAATCAATCAACATATTGATATATTGAAGCAGTGTTGCATGCAACAAAATCGAACAAGCTCTTACTGCATTCAATAAGTCAATCAATCTGCAAATTGATATATTAAAGTACTTCAATCAATCAATCCATCTGCATATTGAGATATTGAATGAATTATACTCAAAATCGCTTTGCTTTTGCTTATTTTATTGTGGCAAGGCTCAACCTTATATGTACTCTCTTTTGCTCTATTGCAGAAGTTGCATACTTCGCCAACAACAACGGCAACAACAACAACAAAAACAACTACAACAACAACAACAATAATAACAACAACAACTACAGCAGCAGCAGCTGCAGCATAAAAGTATCTGAAGAGTCGGACATAGAGAAAAGTTGCATTTTTGGCTGCTTTAGCAAGAAGCAGCAGGAACAGCAACAACAGCAGGAGGCAGAGCAACAGCAGCCCAAGGAGAACGCCAATTCCGGCAGCTACAACGTGCAACAGCGCAACAGAGAGTGCAACAGCAGCCAACAGGCCGGCAGCTACTACAGGCAACACGACACTGAGTTTGGCCAGCAGCAGCAAGAGCAGCAACAGGAGCAAAGCGAGCAGCAGCAGCAACAGGAAGAGGAGCAGGAGGATCAGCCACAGGAGCTCAATATAGCTGGCATTGGTGTCATAGCCAGGCAACCGCGACGACAAACGCAACGCTCCCAGAGCCAGCCCGCAATCTTGCAGCAACCGTTGCGCAGCAAACGTCCAGGGACACCACCACCGCACGCGGTCAGAAGCATGACTTCCATACCTGCCACGCTGTCCAGCAATAATGTGGCTGGCACTGCGGCGACCGCTGGCGCTGCCCTAGTGGCGCCCGAGAAGCAGCCATGGCCCAATTCCAAGGATGATTACGAGCTGAGGGATGTAATTGGTGTGGGCGCCACGGCTGTGGTGCATGGCGCCTATTGCATACCCAAGAATGAGAAATGCGCGATTAAGCGCATCAATCTGGAGAAATGGAACACTTCTATGGATGAGCTGCTCAAGGAGATACAGGCCATGTCGTCGTGCAATCACGAGAATGTCGTCACCTATCACACATCGTTTGTGGTGCGCGAGGAGCTGTGGCTGGTGCTGCGCCTCCTCGAGGGTGGATCCCTGCTGGACATTATCAAGCATAAGATGCGCACGGCCAATTGTAAGCAAGGTGTCTTCGATGAGGCAACCATTGCCACCGTCCTCAAGGAGGTGCTCAAGGGTCTCGAGTATTTCCATTCGAATGGCCAGATCCATCGTGACATCAAGGCGGGCAATATACTCATCGGCGATGATGGTACCATACAGATCGCTGATTTTGGTGTTAGCGCCTGGCTGGCGACCGGTCGAGATTTGTCGCGTCAGAAGGTGCGTCACACATTCGTGGGCACACCATGCTGGATGGCGCCGGAGGTGATGGAACAGGACCATGGCTACGACTTCAAGGCGGATATCTGGTCGTTTGGCATAACGGCCATTGAGATGGCAACGGGCACAGCACCATATCACAAATATCCACCCATGAAGGTGCTCATGTTGACCCTGCAGAATGAGCCGCCCACCTTGGATACGGGCGCCGAGGATAAGGATCAGTATAAGGCCTATGGCAAGACATTCCGTAAAATGATCGTTGAGTGCCTGCAAAAGGAGCCATCGAAACGTCCAACTGCCAGCGAGCTGCTCAAGCATGCATTCTTCAAAAAGGCCAAGGATCGCAAATATTTAACCCAAACCCTGCTACAATCCGGCCCCAGCATGGAGACGCGCGTCCACAAGGCGGCCAAACGTCAGCCGGGCGCATCGGGTCGTTTGCATCGCACCGTCACCGGCGAATGGGTATGGTCCAGCGAGGAGGAGGACAATGCCAGCGGCAGTGGTGGACGCAAGCATCCCTCATCCGATTCCGAGTCCGAGGATCGTCCCATCAATCGACTCGAACGTGCCGATTCCTCGGACAGCGATCGCGATGAGACAACACCTGAAATTACACGCAGCCTCTCCTCGGCAACGGTGACGCCAGGCGCCGGCACAGCTGGCGCTCCAGCAGCTGGTGCTCCGTCAGGCACGCAGGAGCTTGCAGCTGGACTGGCACAAATGCCGCTGCCCAGTGAATCAGCTGCTGGGGATGCGCCACCCGTTAATCTGGTGTTGCGCATGCGCAATTTGCGCCGCGAATTGCACGACATCCGATTCGAGTTTGCCGTGGGCAAAGATACCGCCGAGGGCATTGCCACGGAGCTGGTGGATGCGGGTCTAGTGGATGCACTCGACACCCAACCGATGGCCGTGCATTTGGATCAGCTGATCGCCCAGTGCGACACCATGAAGACAATAACGTTCCAGCTTAGCTCCGGCGTACAGCCGGGCGAAACGCCCGATGAGCGTTCACTTGTGGGCTATGCACAGATATCCATTACCGACTAGGACACGGAGTTGGCCTAGTGCCACAGTTCGTTGGGAACCCTACGGTCTACCGTTATATCGCCTGCGCCGCTTTTAGCTATAGACTAGAACTAGTACTATAACTGTAAATGCTAATGCTAGTTATAGATCTGAAGAAAGAAAGAAAAACGCAAGCCGTTCGTTTACTATAGAAATTATATACCTAATACGATAATAGCTATATGTAACTATCTCTATCTCTATCTATCTATCTATCTATCTATCTATCTTTCGTTCTGCGCATTGTAATTACATCATACCTCCTCCCCCCCGCGTTCCTACCTCCCGAAACCTGCCGTAGTTAGTCGCAGCACCCACGCTAAATCGAAAATCGTGTACTTATTTGTTAATTTTCTGCATATATAGTTCATATATATATATATAAACAATATATTTATGTATGTATTTTACACTTCCTACAATATCACGTATATATATATATATATATATATATATATATATATGTATTTAAACAACATCATCATATATGTAAATTTGTAGCGGCTACTATTTAGTCCCCATTTGCGGGCATCTTTAATTTATTCTCTAGCGTTCTAAACTAGTTTAAGTTGTAAGTTTTGTCCCCCCGCGCCACCCTCCATACTACCCACGTAAAACTTTAAGTCGATTGATTTGTTCAGGTGGTACAGTTGTGTCGCCAGCAGCTAAATTAGTTACCAATTACCGTTAATTATGTTTGCCTGCAAAAAAGATTGTATTTAATTGTTCATGAAGTACAGTAAAACCTACATCTAATGAATATTAAAACACATACTTATAGCATATAAAGTAAACAACAACAAGAAAACGAAGAAAAGAAATGAGAACAACAAATTCATTTTGTGTTTTTTCTTTCAAGGGTATTTAGATTTCGGTATTTTAAGTATTTATTTATTTTTTTTTTTAGTTTTTCAGTATGACATAATTTTGTAATATTTTATAGCTTACAATTTATAAAGATCGGTTCTAGGTCGGAAATTAATAACATATTTCCAAATATTCTATTTTAAATGCATTTCTTTAGTTTTCAGTTTCAAAATTGGCAGAAAGAACTCTGGAAATATTCCTATTAATATAGTTTTCTTTTTGTTAATATTACATTAATAATACATTTTCTTATCATTCAAATTATATTCATTTGATGGCCTTTGACGATGGCTTCAGTTGCTCCAACATCATTAAGCTCAGCTCAGCTCAGCTCAGCTCGGCTCAGCTCAACGATACCTTGTCTATAAATACAGTAAACCTGAACTATAGAGTCTGTAGCAATCCCGAGATGCCAGTATATGCCTGTAATTTTAGACTAGTTGAAGGAAACTTTTAAACTAATCATAGCTCTAGAACACATTTTAAATGCAAAGACCTCTTACAATATACCTAGCTACTAAATACACTAAGCCCTAGGCTTTGCGCAGATCAGTGTCAACTCTATCTACATATAGTTGGGATCGAGTTCAAACTGTATAACTTATTGTACTTACATATGAGAGAAATTGTATACGATTTAATTTGACTTTGAAATAAAATGGCATTTGGCTCTACAAACCCCCTAAAAAAAAAAAAAAAAAAAAAAAAAAATGAGAAGATATACTAAAAGTTTTTCTTGAGCTTGTCAAAAACTGTACATATTTCAAAATTTTGATACACCTTTGCAGAGAGCAGCGCATCATGGCCGATTACTTCGAAGAACTGGGACATACGCCCACAGGACCGGAGGGCGCCAATGATTTTGACCGGCATTATCGCCGTCTCCAGGTGCTGGCCATCATGAATGGCATTGATATGGAGATCGAGGTGCCGGAGGCATCTAAGCGGGCCATAGAAGCGCTCCCGATCCATGACATTGCCGCCGACGAGGTCAAAGAGGATTTCGAGTGTGCCGTGTGCAAGGAGCCAGCGCAAGCCGGTGATAAATTCAAGATTCTGCCATGCAAGCACGAGTTCCACGAGGAGTGCATTTTGCTGTGGTTGAAAAAGGTGGGCAACTTTTTAATATCTGAATATATTTTTTATTGTATTGATTTCTCTACCCACTCACCTGTGAAGGCAAACTCCTGTCCCATTTGTCGCTTCATCTTCGTAAGTATAAAATATTATTTAAGTCTTTGGCGAGATCATAACCTCACTATTTAATACTCACAGGAAACAGACGATGAGGTTTATGAGGAATTGCGACGTTTCCAGCAGGATGCGGACAATCGACGTCAACGTCAAGACAATCTAATGAATTCCATGTTTGGTTAATATCAAAATATTTATCTACTTTCATTCGGCGGTGTAATCTTTGGTGTGTGTATAATGCAATAAAAAATATAACAAATAAATGTTCCATTAAAGCTTTAATTTGTAAACGTTTGCTAAACAAATCCAAAGGTAAGTTAGAATAAAACAAATAACTGTTTCTTTCTATCACACTTTGCCTAGTTCAGTGTACATTTTATTGAACTAGTTTTTTTTTTTTTGTAATCGAAACTACGTGTTAAATTGTTTCATAATTATTGTCATGGGGCTGATAAATTTGCAAAAATATTTTATTGAATATATGACTTGAAAATAAAAAGGTAAAAACCAAAAAACAATGTCAATTGCGAATTTTATTTAATTTTGTGCATTAACAGCATACCAGTTCTACAGTCGCACCTCGAGCAACTGACTCGCCAAACGAACCAGTGATCTTCGCGCGCTTAACCAACACTATAGTCAACCAGTATTGACGCACACTTTTATTTAGCCGGTCGATTTTATTTTTTAGTTTCACAGGCATCTTGGAAAAATTACATTTGCGGCCGAGTTTTTGTGTATTTATTGAATACAGAATAACTGTTAAGCCAGCAAAAAATGATTACTGACGACAGTGGTGTTAAGTTTTTCGATCGCAAATTTGTGGCAGCCAATTTGCGCAGTCAATTGCGCTGCCCAAAATGTACGCGCGAATATTCGCATAAGCATACCAAAGGAGTGGCAGCAGGTAAAGACATTATTGTTAATTGGATTAGCATAAGCAAATGCCTGGCAATTAAAACTATTAATGAAAGCTTGAGACTCCTGCGTGCAAAATGTATAACTGCATGTGTGTAAATGTGTGTGCCTTGTGCATTCAATTAGATGTGTGTACATAACCTACAAACCGTTATTTTGTCAGTTTTGCTTTTGTGCTGCTTCTAAACAAGGAGAATTTGCTATACCCTGGCAGAAACTAGATTAATTAAGTAGTTGAATGTGTAACACCTTGAATTGGAAATATAAAAGTTGTTTTGTTTGTTTAAATTGTTAATGAAAACTTGAGACTTCTGCGGACAAAATACGTACGTGTTTGTGTGTGTGCATTCAAATTGGCCTGAGTGCTGAAGCAACAAACCGTTATTTTGTGTATGTATGTGTGTATGAATGTGCGCGATTCTCGCTCAATTTTGCGTCTTACTTTTGCGCTTCTTCTAAACAGAAGTTTTTATACCCTGGGCCAGTGTTGCAAAAAAAGCTGTTTCCCTTCCCATCTATGTTTGGATAGTTTAGGCAGAAATTTAATGTAATTTTTTTTTTTATTTTTTGTTTATGTATAACCTGTAGCTGTTTATTGCCAATTGGTATTTTTATAATATTTATATCAATTTTAAATTTGGATTCAGCTACTTTTTGAAGAGGGAGTTGGTAACACTCTGTTCCCCTGGAAGAAGGAATATTAAGGCATAAGTTACTTACGTGCATAAGTTATTTACCATAAGTAGAAAAAGGCAGTTTTTGAACTGATAATGCAGAATTATTCGATATATTGTGTGAAAAATTCTCGTATAGTGTTCACCTAAAGAGGATATAAACTTTTTCCCCTATCCTGCTAAGTCTGTAAAATTCAGTTTGATGAAAAGCTGTAATGAGAGCACTTAGCAGGAAATAAGTTTTGTGTTGAAAAAAATCAAACCATTTTTCCAAGGATACTTAAACTTAAATGACACTAAAAACGGTTCTTTCATGCTTTCAACAGAAAATCATCGTCCCTTTTTGTTGCCTTGTGGTCATAATATGTGCGAATTTTGCATTTCGAAGCATCGCCAGCAAATGGACTTTAAGTGCGCCGTTTGCTACAGCTCGGCGCAGCCAACAATAACCGCTAAGGATCCGAATGGCAAATATGTGGGCAACATACGCGACTATTACGAGCTCAACTATCATGTGCTGGGCGAGACAAACAGCCTCGAGTACTATCGCCGCTACTCGGTGGATTCGGTCAACAACTCGCTGCTCTGCCCCTCCAATATGAGCGAGATTGTGCTGGAGACCAAGTGCAGCGAGTGCGGGCACTGTGCGGCGGGCGGCGAGTGCAAGCAGTGCAATGCCTTCTATTGCAAACGATGCTTCGAAACGGTGCATCATCATAGTCGCGTCCTCAAGACGCACATCTTCCAGCGACTCGTCGATAAGAAGCGCGCCTCCAGGGGCATTCGTGTCGGCAACGACATCTTTCGTATGCCCGCCCAGCTGATGTGCAGCGCCCACAATGCCCCGGCACATATCTATTGTACCACATGCAAGCGCAACACCTGCGACTCGTGCGCAACCAAACAACATTTTAATCATATCACCTGCACAGTGGGCGAAATGGTGAGTACATGTACAGATACAGGTAAAGGTTATCCTTCTGATGGGCTTTCGTACAGAATCAACAAAAACCCTTAAGTTAGCCAACGGTTAACTAAATGCAACTAAATGCAGCGAAAACTCTCCTTACGGACAGTCTTGGGCCATCCTCTCTCTATTAGGCAGAGTCTCTTCTTGATTGATTTAGCCTTCCACATTTCTAGAAACTTGCATAATTTTGCAAGTCAGAGACAAATCTTGTAGGGAATTCCTTAAGTTAACTGCTAGTTACCTTAAGACTTACGACCCTCTATTTAATAATGCGCAGCAATTGCATGGCAATTACAGATTTGTATCATTAATTTATGAATTTAATATGTCGAATAATAGTGCTGACAGAAAGTTGACTTTTTTTTTTTTGCATTATTAAAACTGATCTGGAACGGAAGCTTTATATTTTGCCCTCGACTTATAATTGATGAATTGCTATAAATTAGCATACTGACTTTTAAAAGCACTGTGCTACATAACCCTTTGTCAAAAGACTAACAGGCTCAATAAAAATATTTCACCCACAAATGTGAAAAATGGGTGAAAATTTCAAAAACACCACAACGGACGAAATATAGGCAAACATTTAATAGTCAAGTTATGTAGCGTAGAAAATGATTTTAGCTCCGCATCAATAGAACCAACACTAAATTTGATCTATTTGTAGAATCATCGTTATGTCGCCGAGATTCCAACGACAATAAACTCCATAGACGCGGCTCTTTTGCAAATCAACAATGCGCAGCTGGTGAGTAAATGTTAATTCCATAATGTTTTCTTAATACTTGGGTCTTTATTTTAATTACATGCTATATCTAATTCTTTTTCTATAGGTATATATAGATAGTAATTGTTTCATTTACAGTTTAGCTATTTACAGTAATCGCTCGCTAAGAATAATTTAAAGGCATCCAAAAATCAACAAACGAACAAGTACAAGAATTCTCTCATTACAAATATGGCAAGCATTCCCTACCAGGCTAATTGCTCTCTTATTGTTGCTCCCCCTGTCACTTTCTCGCCTGCTTACTGCTCTCCCCCATGCCGCTGACAATGGGCATTAGGTGTCCGGTTGTGCCGTCCGTTTTAATCTCAATCACCTCCAGCTTCTCGACGCTTACTTTTATCGTCTCGAGCTGTTTTTGGCCTGCTGCCGTATTTGTGTCCCGCAAACTTTGCAGCTTGTTCACCTCCTCACTGCTCTCTGGCGTATCGCCATCCAGCTCAGTGTCCGCCTCCAGCTCGGGATCGGCACCTGGCAGATGCTCTGGCTCCAGCTCCAGCTCCAGCTCTGGCTCTGGCTCCGGTGTGGAAGATACGACTATGGGCCTCAAGCCAAGCGTTTGCGTGTCCTGGCCCGTTGTTGTTGTTATGGGCGCCATTATAGTGGTTGGCGCCTGGCCGTATGTATCGTAGGTGCCGCGCTCCGAGATGTCATCAATCTCATCATCGATGAGAAGATTGCGCTCCGAGCTCTGCTCATAGACCTGAGCATTAATGCCGCTGCCGTGCTTCGGTGACGGCTTGTGGTTCTTGGGCAATGCGGGCGTAGATGCCTCGTCGCGGGCTGCCGGTTTTTCCGCCTGCTGATTGGCCTTGCGCTGCTTATCCACGCGCATTTTCTCCTCCATTTCCTGGAACTTCATGGCCAGATATCTGAAATGCCAGGTAAAGTGCTTCTTACTATATAGGCTTATATCTTTGATTTTGGCTAGCATTTACTTATCCACAATGGGTCCATTGTAGTCCTCGGGAAATTTAGGATTAAAGGGCAGTATATACTTGTACAGACGCTCATTTAGCACATATAACTGGGAAGTGGTTGAGCACTTCACGTTGAACCACCAATCGCAAGTCAGCGCGATCTAAAAAAAAAACGGGGAGTGTGTTTACAGTTCGAGCTTTGCTTTTCATATTTTGATTCTTTACCTGACTGAAGATTGTGCCATTGGGGCATAGGAATGAGGCTTTGCCTCCATTGAGATCACAATAGTGCCACACCTGACAATTGGTCTCTGGATCGCCAAAGAAACCCTTGTAACGCTGCTGCGTGCACTCGAAGCTGGTCTTTGGAATCTCCGCGTAGTTGGGATAATCAATACCGGCACGTCCTGTGCTAGGACCCGGATGTTTATCTGTAGGATAAAAAATTATTAACATCAGTGTAAAATCCAAGATGAAAGCTAAAATGTTGAATTTAAATGATTTATTTCCGACCAGTTTCGAGCTTTTTTTGAATGATTGCGTTAAGGAACATTCACGGTGATGTGTGAAAAAGATGTGAAAGTGAAATTTCCAATCGATTTTAAATTATGCGCGACAGTTTGTGTAATATGGGCAAAAATAAAATTGTCGCGTAAATTGAAGCAAATTCATTGAGAAATGGATTTAGATATTTTGTTTGCTCACTCTTGAATATCTTTTAAAATATTTATGACATTTTCTTAGGATTTCGGGCAATTCGCCACAATATATGGAAAATGGGTGAATTTGCGAATGGCTTTAAATTCAATTTGAAATCCCTTCACATACATTAACTTTGCCTAAAGGTCAGACAACAGATAGGTTGCTTTTCCAATGAAACTGCTGATCCTTTATACTAGTCTCCTTTAAAGCTTCTATCTAGTTGAAAGTAACTCACTTGGTCCGCTCAGCTGCAGCAGATCCGCATCGACATTGCCCGCCACTTTTGCCGGCGTGTGCGGCTGTTCCTCTTCGCTGGCCGTGTTGTAATCATAGTCGGGACTGTTGCTGTTGCTGCTGCTGTGTTTGGTCTCATGATGCTGGGGAGGATTGGATACAATTGTTTGGGTCTGCTTCAGATTTTGCAGGATGCGTATCAGCGTCTTGATGGAGTTGTCTATGTTATCGGGTGTGAGAGTTTGTGGCAGGTGGTTGCTCGCCTGCAGCTTATGCAGAATCTCTGCCAGCGAGGAGGTGCGTATGTCGGGCAGCTGATCCGCATCATCCACCGTGTCGAGCACCTGACTCGGTCGTGTCGAAGCAGGCGCACGCTCTGGCGTGTATTTGTGGATGGGTTTGAGTTTAACAGGCGGCGCTTGGGGCGACTCGCTGTGGACAGATTGTGGCGACGGCTTACTGGTCACATACACATACTTGGGCGTAATCTTGACCGTATCGCTGGGCGTGGGTGGACTGATATAGACGGGTCGCCGGGTGGCGTGGTACTTGTGCACAGGCGGCACCGGTTGCAGCCGCAACGTGGGCTGCTGTTTGTATAGCACAGGTGCACGGGTGGGTTGTACATCAGGCAGTCGGGGTGGCTGCGAATGCTCCGCGTAGGGCGCTGAGGTGGTTACCAAAATGTAGGCGTGCTGTGGCGGATGCGAGGGTGCGGCTTGAGAGTGTTCCTGATGTGACAGCTGTTGCTGCTGCTGCTGTTGTTGCTGCTGCTGCTGCTCCTCGTCTAGCGACTGACGCGGTCCATCGATGAGGTAATCGATGAAGTGGGGCGGTGCGGGTGAGCTGTGTTAAAAAGAGAGGGCAAAGAAGTGAGAGAAAGCTTATAAAAGTTGGACTGAGAGAACGCAAACCCAAGCATATGTTCAGGCACTCGAATGGCTCCTAGTGTGTGGACTTACCCGAGCAGCGAGTCCTTTGGCTGCTCATGCAGTTGACCCATGAGGGCGCGCAATGGAATATGCAGCACCTGTTGCTGCTGCGCTGTCTGTGCCGCCTCCGGCCGCACGAAAAGCCCATTGTAATTGTGTAACTGACTGTGGTGGGATGGTGATGGTGATGGTGGTGGTGGTGGTGGAGGTGGTGCTGCAGTTGGCGTATGTAGGTGACTGTGTGGATGTTTGCCAGCTTTCGTATTGCTTTGCGCCAGCTGTTGTTGTTGATGATGTTGGTGATGATGGTGTAGTAAGCGCTCCTGCTGTTGCTGCTGCCGTTGCTGTTTCATGCGCTGCTGCAAGTAGAGCACGTACTTCTCCTGCGGAGTCAGCTGCTGTTGTTGTTGCTGCTGCTGCTGCTGCTGCTGCTGATCCGGCGACATGTTAAAGTAACTCTCGTATTTGCTCACGTGTCCATATGCCGGCGACTTTTGGTGTACTATCAATGCGGTTTGTGGGTTTGTGGATGTCGATGAGGCGGCGGATGTGGTGGCAGGGGCTGATGACACAATGGCTGGCTCATTGTACACGCTATAGCCAACGCTGCGGGGCACATGCAAAAGCGTATGAGTTGAGCATACAGTGAAAACTCTACTAAGGGGCAGCTCCATTGGGCGGATAACTACTTTAGCAGGCCAATATATATTAGTCTTGAAGTTACATAATATATTATAAAAAGTAATTTTAATTCTTGTTGGCATTTCCCTGATTCAGTTAGTAGGCTTTGAGCGCGAAGGCTCTGCTCCCTGGCAGCTTTCACTGTATTCATGTTGGGTTCGTCTGAGGGGTTGTAAAAACAGCTGCTGACCTGTATGCATATGTACATATTTTGCATTGACCAGCTTGCCTGCGGTTGTTTATGACATGATTTTGCAATTTGTGAAAATTACGAGATAAACAGAAGGCGCTCATCAATACACGGCCAGAGCATTGAGAGCACACACCCACTGTATGCCCCTTGGGCGGCGCCTCGTGGGGTACAGCAAACAGCTTCTTACGTCACCAGACCGAATGTCGTCAGAGACATTGAAAGAGATGGTGGAGGGACAGTCGGTGAGACAGAAGCAGAAGCACAGGTTGAGGCAACGCATTAAATGCAATTGAATTCTATGCCCAAGGGCATTGCATGCAACCTGTGCAACGTGTGCTGTGCCGTGTTTGTGTCGCCGACACAACGAAAACGGCAGCTCGGTGCTGCACAAACGTTCTCTATACTACCTTTAATTTTCTATTTTACTTATTTAAAATGTCACAACTGTTTCATGTATTTCAATTTTTGTACACGATGGTGTTTTAGAATAGCCAACGACTGAATTGACAATTTCGATTTTGATTTTAATTATATGGAAAAGGAACATATTTCAGAATTCCTACAAACAAGACATCATTAAAGACAACTCTTGCCTTACGCTCTTCAAAATACCTTTACGAAAGTCATCATAAAAAACAACTCTAGCTTAATATTCGTAACAATAAATATCTTAACTGTTGCTATCTTTAATTCGAATTCGTGAAAGCGAACTGTGCTCAGCCATTACAACTTGCCTTTTAAAACTTCTTGAAACTGAAAAATTCGAGAATCGAACAAATGAGAATCTCTTTACAATCGAATCCTTTTATAAGCGTAGTATTTGGTATTATAATCTTATTACGACATTTAATCAGGTAGAAATCAAACATCCTCAACCCGACTGGGTAAATAATTAAATCAAGCTTGATGAAACTTAATCTTATCTGTATTTTTGTTGTACACAGTACACATATAGGAATGGGTTGAACCTGAAAACTATATTATTAATTTTTGTAGAAATTAATTGATTTAATATATACTAGGGAATCAATTTCGATCTTGTTTAATACAGACGCTTAAAGAAAGTCTTTCAAGTTATAGAACAAAAAGAAAGCTAAAAATAATAAACAATCGGTCAAATAGGAGAATATGGGAATATTTCGTAGGAGTAGGAGTATTTAATATCCTTTTCTTTCACTCCTTATTTATTTATAACTTGTGTTTTTTATACCCTTGCAGAAAGCATTATAATTTTGTCTCGAAACTTGTAACGCTATTTTGACCCGATAAAGTATATATATTCTTGATCAGTTTCAGCAGCCTAATCCGTCTGTCTGATTCTATGCGAACTCATCTCTCAATTTTAAGGCTATGTCTTGAAACGTTGAATTCTGGTACCGACCGGATCGCATCTCTATATCATATAGCTGCCATAAGAGCGATCGGTCGAAAATGAAGACAAAGATAGCTTTACTTTCTCTCTTACTTTCTATTACATTTGTGATTTGGATAGTTAATATAATAAGTCACTGTCATAAAGAAACACATCGATCTAAACAATTGAAAAAATTATCTAATTGTGAGTTTAGTTCAGAATTTAAATATAGGGTACACATGATTCGAACTGTTAAGTCTAAGTACATATGTTGGCGAAATGTGGATGCAAGATTTTTAATTTGTTTGCAACATGCTATTGCACATGCAACAACAACCACTTTATGATGACAATGGGTGGCGATAGGCGGCAGTAGCTAAGCGTGTGGCTGAGCGCGTGTGTGAGTGTGTGGGAAACGGCAGAAACAATTCCATCAGCAGAGCGCTGCTAATAGTAGCAAAAAGTCTATGCTAGATATGTATCTGACAGATGCACAGATACAAATACCAACAAATATCTGACAGATACACACAAAGAATGTGTCTGCATTTTGTAGAGCTTTTTCAGCGTATTCGTATGTCATACACAAAAATCTTACCTCGGCGTCGCATGCACCGCATCCTCCGGCTGCGCCTCCCCCGATGACTGTGAATCCGGTGAGGCGGCAACTCCGGCTGCTGAGGGCACATCTCCTGCATAATCCGTAACAATTTGTGTTTGATGCGAATTTTTATGGTAGACAATTTCAGATGGCGACTGATTTTTGTTGTAATTGATTGTATTGGCATTATGCAGCTCATTGTTGTCGTTGTCGTTGTTGTTGTTGTTGTTGCTGTTGCTGTTGCTGTTCGGTTTGCTCAGCGGCGTATAAATAATGGGTATAAAGTGTCCCGGCAGCGTATTCTGCGCTGTAAACGGCGTTAAATTGACTTTTGATTGTTTGCCACGCTGCCGCTGAAACTGCAGCTGCAGCTGCGGAGGCGGTGGCAGCAACTCGTACTGCTGCTGCAGTGGCTCCGTCTGCTGCTGCTGCTGCTGCTGTTGCTGGTGGTGATGGTGGTGGTGGTGGTGGTGCTCTTGCTGTTCCTGCTGTGGCAAAGGCGGAAAGTGCTGCACCGTCTTGTGCTGTTTAAATATATTATGATTTTCACGATTATATTTGACTTTATTTATGCTCTGCAATTTTTCGTTATACCCTGAACCCAGGGAACATTTGTAAAAAGGGTGGAATGATTGTGTGCAAATGTAGGTAACAGGCAATATTTGGCAGCTTGAATTGTACTTAAAGTGATTTCAATTTACCGAATAAAATGCGAAATAATAATAAATTCTATTACGAAATGTGTAACGCATATGTAGATACAGCCACCTCCGATCCCATAACTTATGCATATCTTGATCAGCATCAATAGCCCGATCTGTTCGAAGTTTATCCGTCTGCACTTGGGTGCTCCTTTAGCCCTTTCAGATCAAGTTTTTCTTATAACTTGTGCATGAACTTAATAAAAATTATGTCGGAGCCTATAAGAGCTGGAAATACCTACATACTGGATTTGGTATGAGAGCTATAGATACCAAATTTTGTATATAAAATCTCCTATAGTATACTCAAATCCAAAACATTAACTAATTAAAAAAGTCATTTCCTTGTGGATTTGGTACATACACACTTTTGTATGCCCTGACAATTTTATGAAGGTCGAACAAAAAGAAACCGAAATTAATTAGGAAGTGTATCTGTATGTTTACTAGAGAGAAGCGAGAGGCAGGCAGCTGGGGTCCAGGGTATCTGGTAGTCGGGCCTTTTCGACTGGTGCAAATTAACTTGTTTTTTTTTTTACTTGCCTTGTGCGTTGGATTCAATGGCTTGTAGGCAATAAATGTGGCGCCCGGCGATGGCGTCTCCTTGCCGTGCACAGGTGACAGCGGTGGCAGCGGGCCATGCTGCACCGCTAGCGTATGATACACGTCCGCTGCGCCCGACTGATAATGCGGCGTCTGATGATGCGGCTGTTGTGGATGCGTCTGTGGCATGTAGGCAACGGGCACTGGTATGCGACTAGGCGCTGCACCAGCGGCGGCGGGCGGCAGCAGCTGTGAACCACCGGCAGCTGAGGCATGCTTGACGGCATATTGCTGATTGATGGGCAGCTCCGGTGCGGGCAAATAGAAGGCCATATAGGGTATCAAGCGACGATTACGTTCCGAGGCGCTTAGCTCGGCGTCTGCAATGACACCGCTGTGGTTGTGCTTGCCACCGGCCGTGGCATGAGGCAGCGGCAACAGGCAGGCAACTGTAAAAAGATTAAACATTTTATTGGCCTTACATAAAACTAATTGAGTTGGAAAACTTATCTAATGAAAGTAACAAATACGACAAGTAGATGCTCTGTAATCAGAATATCATAGCCGTGACTAAAAATATATTTTCGTACGGCATTCAACCGATTCTTCTTATAGAGCTATATAATAAAGTATTGAGATCTAGATACGAGTTGGCTCGTACACAAAGAGCATAATTTAACGAGTAATTTCTGGGGTTAGGCGTCAAATTGTTTTTACCAGTGGACCGATCCGTTTGGCTCCGACATATGCACTGCCTACAATAGAAACATTAAATAGCTTTAAGCCTGAGAGGCTAGTTCGAATAGAAACAAACGGACTGTCAATAATCATATCAATACTCTATCGATCGACAAATAATTTATACACATAAAATGTTTATATAAATATATAGCTAAGTTTTTCTTTATTTTTTAAATTTTTCTATTGGTCTGTAATATTTTGGACTCAATGCATCCGGACATTCAACTTTGTTACTAAAACCTAATTCTTTTTTTGAGTGGGTGCCAATATACAATTTTCGGCAATTATTTGAACACATTAATGTTGACGACTGTTGTTGTTATTGTATTTGCTGCTGTTGCTGTTGTAGTCGATGTTGTTGTTGTTGTTTTTGTTGAATTTGTTGTTGTGATTGCTCCTTCTCCAGAAGCAACCAGCTGCACTTGAGAATCTCGCGCAGATTCCAGCGTGTCGTTGCATTCGGATCGAGCAGCACAGCAACTGTGGCCTTGGCATGTGGCGTGATGAGGTCATGCAACTTGCGGCGAAACGCGTACTTTCTGGAGCGTTGATCCTCCAGTAATTTGGACAGATTTGCATCATCGAATGGCATCTTTCCATTCAACATAATAAACAAAATAACACCTAGCGACCAGGCATCGGCCAGTTTCGGATCATAGGGCACTCCGTAAACAACCTCTGGTGCGGCATATGCAGCCGAGCCACAATACGTCTCCGACAACGACTGCCCGCCGCTGTCGTTTGGACAGAAGCAGGCGAAACCAAAATCGGCTAGCTTTATATTGAAATGTTCGGAGAGTAAAATGTTCTCGCACTTGAGATCCCGATGGGCAATATCAAAGCTGTGTAAATACTTTAAGGCGGTGGCCATTTGATAGAACCAGATCTTAGCCTGTTTCTCCTCAATGAAGCCCACTTTCTTAATATGCGTCAATAGATCACCTCGCTCGGCATAGCGCATAAATATGAAGATCTTCGGACCGCGCTGCAAGATGCTGTGAATCTGTATAATATTGGGATGATCCAGTTTCGTCAATATATCCATCTCGCGCGGAAAGAACTTTTCCACAAAGTCAAGGGGCGCCTTTTCCTTGTCGATCACCTTGCAGGCCAAATTGATATTGCGACCACTCTCCTCCGTATAGCTGGCATTTATCACAGTCGCATAGGAGCCCTCGCCGATCTTGCTGCCGATTTTATAGCCCTGCTGGGCCAATGCGTGAATATCAGAGCTTCGTGTGCCCTGAATCTGGGCACTTTCTCCATTGTTGCACATGATTAAATGGTGCCTCTCAATTTACCAACTATATATGGAAATTAGAGGGTGAGGATGTTTTTGTTTTATGAGGGTATTGGCTATTCGTTGTATACGTCATATTTACCGTTGCATTGGTTAACTTGACTAAACTGGAATTTGATGGTATATTATATAAAACGAACTAAAATTCCTATTCGAATCCAGAAATTTTGACAAAATAAAAACGTGACAGAACAAAGGCAAATACGAACGCAAGTTAAATAATATAAGAGTATTTTTGAGCAACTCAACACAGTTTACTTTGGTTTCACGACTTAATAGAAATTGTAGAAAAAAAACAGATGCAATGATTTAAAACATTTGCAGATATATGACAAATATACGATATTCAAATGCTTATTTGAGTCACAGGAAACTGAATTTTCGACACATTATTGTAAGCATTGTGATATAGTAGTCCGATGTCAATAAAATACAATAAGTGTTGTTGCTTTAAAAGCTTTTTACTCTCGAAAGAATATGTTGATTTGAGTTTTAAGTTCTCCACCGACTAACATAGTATGTTAGTATGTATAAGTATTATGGCTTAGCTTAAACTGCAGATATTGTTCACGCAAGTGGCTCTTCCCTGATCGATGCTTATATAGAGCGAGTCCAAATTTAAAGTGGATCTATGTGTCTAACTATGTACTCATATAATATAAACAACTGTTTTGAAGTTGAACACATATGTTCTGTCAAGTGCAAAAAGAAGGCTCTATGCCATATGTGATCGAAATGGCTTTAGATAGAAAAAAGGAACGATAATTTGTCTACATGGACTTAGCTTGTTGACCTCATCAGGAATATATATGTATCGAAGGTGCCTATCTTAATGATGTCACACTTTTTAAATATACCAAATCTCAAATAACATTTTACATAGGTATTTGAAAATGAGTTTGTAGTCGATCGCACAATTAACTGCCGTGGGCTGAATTACAAAAATCGTTTCATAGGGATTTTTGAAAATGTGCTTTAAAAACCTATCGGATTGATACAAAAAAAGCTACATATATACGTTGTCCACAAATCTCTTAAAATACCGTCCCAAGCTAGTCAGAGTAAAACTTGGCTATATCTTATGGGTTGGGTTATGCGTTGAGCAACAATCAGTTAATCAGGACGAACAATTGTATAGAGATGGCTTACCAATGTATACAACCAGAGGTATATATAAATTTTTTTTTTATATATTTGTATATGCACTCATACAAGATAGTATCTATGCCTGCGGTAACACCAAGTCTTGGCTTCAGGGTACATCCAATTTGTATTTTTTATTGAGCATATTGAATGTAATGCTCGAAAATATAATAATAAAAAAATGTGTATAAAGTATTTTAAAGACTTAGGAAAAAGATTTCATTGAAATAATTTGAAGTATACTTGGTTTGCAGTAGGTAGCCTAATTAGTTTTTTTTTTTTTTAATACTTCAAATTGAAGACATATATATTTTATTATATGGAAAAAAGTAGAGCATAGTAGACATGGCCAGTTAAAACAAAATTGAATGTAATTGCAGTTTCAGTTTCAGTTATTTTATTATTTGTCTCTGCTCTTTCACAACGTTTGTAATTTCGTCAAAATTTCTGGATTGGAATAGGCAATTTTGTCAACTTTATATTATAGTACCATCAAATTCATAAGTTTAGTGAGGGAAATCCAACACAACGGTAAATATACAGATACACATGAGAAGAATTGATCATCTAACGTCTTATCTAACTATGCCCTCCATTCCGCTAAAATAATGCAGTTGGTACACGCAAAGATCATAGGCAGCGTATCGATTGATTTAGCTCATATTCCATAAACCATGACCAATTATGGAGGCAGCCGTCAGTTGAGCACACGCAGCTCCGACATTGACGCCCTGGCCCAGCGTGGCTATAATATTGGCCACAAGATCGGCGAAGGATCCTATGCGACTGTGATCACCGCCGGCTATGCGGATGAGAGTGGTCATGGTGTTAATCTGGCCTGCAAGATCATCGATAAAGCCAAGGCCCCCACCGACTTTGTGCACAAGTTTTTTCCACGGGAACTGGAGATCTTGACGAAACTGGATCATCCCAATATTATACAGATACACAGCATCTTACAGCGAGGTCCGAAAATCTTCATATTTATGCGTTACGCCGAAAAGGGCGATCTATTGACGCATATCAAGAAGTCGGGTCCGATTGATGAAAAACAATCGAAGGTCTGGTTCTTTCAGATGGCGAAAGCCCTAAAGTATCTGCACACACATGATATTGCGCATCGTGATCTTAAGTGCGAGAATATTCTGCTTTCCAAGCGCCTCAATGTCAAATTGGCCGACTTTGGGTTTGCGCGCTATTGTCGAGACGAGGCCGGACATCAATTGAAATCGGAGACATATTGCGGCTCCGCCGCATATGCCGCACCGGAGGTTGTTTGTGGTGTGCCATACGATCCAAAGTTGGCCGATGCCTGGTCCCTGGGTGTCATATTGTTTATAATGATGAATGCCAAGATGCCATTTGATGATAGCAACCTGACCAAACTGCTGGAAGATCAACGCGGCAAGAAGTTCGCGTTTCGCCGGAAGCTACAGGATGTCATATCGCCGCACGCCAAGGCCACAGTGTCTGTCTTGTTGGAGCCAGATGCAGCGACGCGCTGGGATCTGCGTGAAATACTCAATTGCAGCTGGCTGGTCTCTGTGGAGGATCCGCGACCGTCGGCGTCCACTTAATGAAAGTGTGGTCATTATATTTTGAATTGGAAACAGAGCTTCATAAGTATTCATCAGATAGTCAGGTGTGAGCTATTCCATTTCCAACTATGTGTATACATATGTCTATATATATGTGTATGTATAATATATATATATATATGTATATGTATCTATATATATTCATAGTTAGTTGAATTGTTAGGTATACCCTACACTACTTACACTAAATGAGGAATAAATTAAAAATTGTCAAGCGTCTTGGTGCCTTTTGCTGCTGCCCCTGTTTTGTTCAACTTCGATTAACAATTAAAAATGCTTCTGCGAAAACCCAACGAAGCCTGACCATCATAGACGCTGTCATAATCATTCAAGAAAAACTATTATAAAATAGCATTAGGTGAATTTGCAAAATTTTTCCTCATATTGTTTATCGTGCAACATGCGCTTAGTGAGCCGAGACCAGACCTGAGCAAAATCTAGAGGTGGTCAAAGCTTTTGGCCTTTCAAAATTTATATATTGTGTTTAGTTTATTTGTTATCTTGACGTCCTTTTAGTTAAACTTTCAAAGTGAAATATATATGTTGCAATGATTCTTATGAACTTCTTATGAATAAACTTTCATTTATTCGTTAACTTGCATCAAATGCAATAATCATATGAAATTAAGTTCATGGTTTTAAGCGTAAACAAACCTTATACCAGCTG